TGATCGCTCTTGGTGATATGGCCGTCTGCTTTAACCATCTCATCGATGAAAATACCGATTTCCTTTATAGACGATTGAACGATAAGGATGCAAGTGTGAAGAGAACTTGTTTGATGACTCTCACTTTCCTCATTCTTGCCGGTCAAGTGAAGGTCAAGGGTCAACTAGGAGAGATGGCTAAATGTCTCGAAGATGATGACAAACGTATCGCAGATTTGAGCAGAATGTTCTTTACTGAACTGAGCACGAAGGACAATGCTGTATATAATCACTTTGTTGATATGTTCAGCTTGCTGAGTGCCGAGAAGGAGCTTGAAGAGGACGCTCTCAGGAGAATCATTAAGTTCTTGGCTGGATTTGTTGAAAAGGTATGTTGCTACATTTTTTGTATATATTGATTTCACAGGAATTGATACTGATCTGATAAATAGGATAAACATGCCCGCCAACTTGCCGATAAATTGGCAGCTCGATTAGCTAGATGTGAAAGCGAAAGACAGTGGAACGATGTCGCATATGCTTTGAGTTTATTACAACACAAGAATGAAGAAATTACCAAGTTGGTACAAGGAGGATTCAGAGTTGTACAGGCCAGTGCTTGATTTTACGTCGAAGGTGTGTGTCAGGCAGGAGATGAAAATTGGGAATGGGCTTTCTTGTATCGAATGGTTGATGATAATGATGATTACGGTGTTAGGGTTATGATCATCAAGAAATGATACTTGATACCTGGCGTTAGGTTGTATGATGTATTAATGATCTTGATGAATATAACGTTTTTCGACATACGATAACCTAGAATTTTCCAAGTGCAAATCTGGATCTGAAGTGATTTCGATGATAAGAATGAATGGATCATATCTACATTTCTCTTCTATCAAAATGTGCATTTCCTCAGCTAGCTACTCCACACTTGGATCACGCGTTTAGGTATGTTATATAGTGCTCTTGAAAAAGTACGGAGAGAATACTAGGTACTATTTACTCTCAACATTCACCTCTCGACGAAAACTAGAAGTATTGGAGAAACGAATTGTCGAGCTCACCGGGGAAATGTTCACCTCCCCGGTGAGCTCTCAGCTTTTGTTTTCTTTCTACCAGATATGAGCTGAGAACGACAATTTTTGCATTTCCTCGCATGTATTGTGATATTGCGATATCTTGCTGAGAGTAATAGTACTGACGTGTTAGGAACGGAATAGAGTAAAAGAGAGTAGAATCTCAATCACATCATGTTACACTGTACTACCTATCTATAATGTGAAGTTTCCACGTCGTTTGCCATTTGCTCCAAAAATCCCATTTCAATCCTTGAAAAGGAAAGGTTAGATAAAGTAGCTAAAACGGTTCTTTCTCACTGTATACTCCTACTGTATTACCAACGCCTACCATTTTCTTATTCATGAATTGTAATGAGAGTGAAATAAAATTGCTTCAAGCTGCCTACAAATTTCGCAATAAGGGTATCATGCATATATCAATCAATTCGGATCGTCCTGCAACCTCCTCTTCCCTTTCTTCCACACCCTTTGCATCTTCTGCTCCTTTTTTCTTTCTCCTTGCCGAGGATCTTCTCCTCCTGTGTATCACTGCCACTTAATTCCCAATACTCCACACTTCTACCCCTATGATATCGAATTTCTCCCCCTCCTCACTCAATGGTTCGTTTCCGAATGTAGGACAACTGCTACTTACGCCTTTCTCAAATGTATCATCTAACCAGAGTCCATAATGCCCATCTCCACCTCCTATTGATAGGAACCCTGTTTCGCAGAGCATCATGTAATCGTTTATTCCAGAGTAGGGGAAGGCTTTGAAGCGGATTCGTTCGGGTGTGCTGGCGCCTGATTTAATGGAGGAGGGGGATTTGGGAGGGGGTTGGGAGAAGGTGGGCGAGAGGAGTGAAGAGGGATGGGCGGGGTTTTGGTTTTGATTTCGAGGAGCGCCGATGGTGGTTGAGCGTTGCAAGTTCGTAGTATCGGAGGAAGGGGGAGGGGGAAGGTTTGCTAGGAGGGAGGAGGAAAGGATGGTTGCGCGCCAGAGGAAACATTCTCCTGTGCCGAAATAGTGAGGTGCGGGGTGCGGTGCTTCTGTCAGGTATGCGCCGAATAACTATAGTCCACAATCTCATTAGCCAAATGTCCAATGTCATACGCGTCGCAAAGACCTCCAAGATAACAACCAGACAAGAGATAAACAGAGATACATACCCCACCCTCTCCATCCTTAACAACCAAGACAAAGCCATTCCTCAAACCCCTCAAGTCATCACACTTCTTATAAAGCGTCCCCAAACTAACCCCATCCTGTTCCAAACTATAAACCAAATTCCATTCCTCACACAATTGTAATCGTGGGGGAACCAGTAATCTAATTTCCTCCGCCAATGCGCGGCTCAATAATTGCGCAGACGGATCTGTATTTTCTCTCCACCCCTTCAACGTCACCGGATACAAAGGCGGTGGTTGAAATGGCGACGCTGTTCGGTGAGGAGGTGTGTAGACGCCTTGAATACCATTTTGCGCTGGGGAGAATGATGGAGATTGGGATTTCGCGTGATTGGAAGTATTGTTGTGATGATTCCCATTGCCGTTACCCGAATGAGTAGAAGGTTCGGTGGAAAAACGTCGCAGTAGTCCAGTGACTGCGGTGGAAATGGTCGGGACAGCCCAACTTGTGGAGTTTGAGAGGGCGGGGGTAGAGTTGCCGGAGGAGGACATGGGGGTTTCGTCGTGATAGCGATTGTTTGGCATTGTGGATGGATGCGATTGTGAATACGGTGTTGGAATGGGTTTACTGCATTAATGGACCCGCTCGTAAGTATATGTCGTGTATGCGATGCGTGAGTGTTACTGGAAGACTTCGTGGTTTTGTTCCGAGGATAGCTTGGAACCTTTATAAAATGAGAATGCGGGAGGTAGAGCTTCTTGGAATGGATCTCGAGATGGCTGCTGTAGTAATTGAGAGCAAGAATCGTATTTATACTTTGAAAGCTGTCGTAGTTGTACTTGAGTAATTGGTTGGAGTGAATTCACCCATTCGTGGTCTGATGAAATGAGAGATGTCGATTGTCGATTGTCGATTGTCGATTTCCAATTGCCAGTGCTTTGATTGTTGAAGGGGGGCGCCACTAAGTTTCAATTGGTTAGATTAGCTGAGATACGGATAAGGCTGAAAGGTGTGCGGGAGCCAAGAAATGTTTGTTTGAGTGGTAGATTTCAATGTTTTAATGCTCATGTTCATCAAAAGTTCTGAATGTTATATCTCGTCTTGGGAGATTCATTAAATTCCTCCCAGCCGAATTTGAACGTTCTATCTCATACATAACATACATCTTCAATGGTATATTCAATCCGAGTCGACGGTTCGACAACATCCATAGCCGTTTTTGTACGTTATCAAAACAAATGATCGGACGATTCCATGTATGACAACCTTTGGAATGGATTCCCATCAATATTACTGCATCAATTCAATATGCTGTATCACCAATCCACAAATTACATACAAACCTGCACCTGAAACCCAAATAAGCAGATCATGTGTCAAGAATCTTGCAATCATTAACGAGATATCTATAACAACCTATTATCCAAGAATTTCTTAATCCCCTCAATTACTCCTTCAGGACTTGGCTTCTCAGCACAAACATCCGGTTCATAATCAAAAGTATTCTTAAGATAATCTCTGGTGGTCGGTCCAATCGTCGCGATGAAAGTCTTTCTCTTTCCATCCTCTTGTTCATCTGCTCGCTTTATTCTCCCACTTTGGGAATCTAACATCCCGAGTGATCGTAACATGGCATCGCATCCTGTCGGTGAGAAAACAACTACCCATCTGGTATCCCTATTCTCCGTCTCCTTCAATAAAGCTTTGAAATCTTCCTCGAAGGATTCCATTACCCCCGTACCATAAACGACTAATTCATCGACTTGGATTCGCTTCTCGGCCGATAATTCCGAATTCATCAATGTTTTAGGAATGATATCCCGTCTCTGTTCACCAACCATGAAAAGTAAAGATGGTTTTAGGGAGCGATCCTTGTACCAATTCCCATAATGTTCTAATATGTAATGTGCCAATGCTTCGCCATTTCCTGATTCGGCACCAAAGATATTTAAGGCGGGGGTTTGAGGTATCGATCGTAATGCTCGTGAAGTAGCTGGGCCGACGGTATAGACTGGTATATTTTGTAGATGTGGCCACTCATCGCTCTCTAAAATATTATCAGTCAATGATCTATATCACTCAATCAAATAAGATCCATCACATACCATCTTCGTTTTTCCCCTCCTCCACCAACTTAGCAAATAACTCCACAGCCCTCTGACTTGTGAAAATCAAGCCTCCATATTTCTTCCCCTCTTCTCTCCCAATGCCCTTCTCCTTAAGTAACCTCTTCACCTCATCCACTCCTTCATCCACAAACCTATGTTCCAATACCGGCACAAAAATCGGTTCAAACCCCCTATCACTCCCCTCCATCCCTCCATACCTCATCGCATTAAAACTCACTTCCTCAAACCTCTCCTCATACCCATCATTCGGCACACTCTTCGTCTTCAACAAAAACGTCGGTATTCTTCTCCCCATTCTTTCCATTCCTTAATTTTCTTTTCTCCTATCTCTCAAATTGTCACTCGTATCGTAATTTCCCTAGATTCAAACGTCAAAATCTCACATTCGGAAAAAGCACATGAAACTTTATCCATCTATCCCACTTGCGGGGCACATGTCGGAGAAATGACGATTAGCCTCTGCTCCAAGCTATCAGCACTAGAACTCTTTCTATTCGACAACGACATGTCAATCTTTTAAGCTTAAACCATACCCCTGTACCCATGTACCCATGCGGAAAATGCGGAAGAGGCCGATCATTTTCCTTTTCTTACAAACCAGAGCTGCAATTATTCATATATGTAGACATTTTTGTACATTTTGTAAAATTCAGACTTATCTCATCTAACTTTTGTTCCTTCCTTCGAATAATAAAAGTGAAAATGTCAGACGACACACAGGATGAAACCACAAATACACCTACCGCGAGCGGTGCCGTCCCTCCCAAAAAATACCCCAAAGGTGTGATATTAGGAAAAGATGGGAAGCCGTAAGTCACACATACTGATTTCCCCTCCCCTTCCTCCTCTCAATCTTACCACATCACATCACGGATATTCACTCAACCCTAAACTAACCCCCCATTCCCAGCTGCCGCTCCTGCAACTCCTTCGCCTCCTTCACCTCCACCACCAAATCTCTCCAATCCACCCCCTCCCCCACCCCCCAACCGACTGCCCCCCGACGTCGAAGCCCTCGGCCGCGCCTCCTGGACCTTCCTACACACGCTCTCCGCCTCCTACCCCAGCACCCCCACCCCCACCGACCGCACCAACATCTCCACCTTCATGAGCCTCTTCTCCCAACTCTACCCCTGCTGGACCTGCGCCTCCGATTTCCAAACCTACATGGCCGAGAACAAGGTGCGCACGGAAAGTCGTGCCGAGTTTGGGAAGTGGATGTGCGAGGCCCATAATGATGTGAATCGGAAGCTGGGGAAGAGAGAGTTTGATTGCGAGCGCTGGGAGGAGAGGTGGAGGACGGGCTGGAGGGATGGGAGATGTGGGTAGGAGAGGGGGGAGGGATGTAATGAGTTGAGGAGCCTGAAAATGGATTCGGGAGTCTACAAAGAGATGGTTGGGGTTTGAGTAGTGGCAAGATATATTATGATCTTGTGAAGTGAGGAGAGGTTCGAATATGAAAACATGGAAGAGATGGTCTTGTGGAATGGGATGGGAGGATGTATTATATAGATGGGGAGAGGGTGTACGATATGATATATGATGAGATAAGATGAGATGAGGTGTATAATATAATGGCCAACCCAGCATAATTCGGCGTTTCGGGACAAAATCAAGAAGGTCATGCATGGAAGGAGGTAATCTCGACTCGAAAACTGTACATGAATTTATGAAGAATTCTCTTCTCAACATTACACTAAGAAAAGTATAAGAGTATAGGCTTGATGTATAAAGCTGATTTATTTCGCTAATGATGCGGTGCTGACTTCAGTCGATGATGTATGTATCCCCCTAATCAACATCTAAAATACATTTCATACAATTCCTCACTTTACCCCTTCCACGACAACACATACAATCGTCCATCTACCATCTCAATCGAACAGATGAGTGCCGATACCACTCCTTCAACATAAACATCTGCAGCCTCCCATCTGATGTACAGGTTCCACTGCATTGATACGTATCAAACTCAATATCTCCTCGAACACTCCAACCTATCCCAATTCATCAGTAGTTTCTTGAAGCCGTAAAATGAAACATTACAAACAGAGCCTTCATCATCCATATCAGAATCAGAATCTTCATCATCGGCATCATCAGTATCATCCGCTTTCACATCTTTCTTCTCCTTTTCGCCCTTCTCGCCAATTTTTCTTCTCTTTCCATTGGATGCATAAGCAGCAACATCAAGACTCAAACTCCTAAAACCACCCCCAAAGAAAACCGAAGTAGTAACACCACGTCTTTGTCTTTTTTTCTGCCCTTTCCCTCCAAGGAGATTTAAGTCCCAGCGATCGGCTTGAAGTTCTTCAATATTGTAATCCGCCTCCAATTTGGTGAGTGTGCTCCTGCTTTTATCATTGGTCTCTTGCGCGGATCGTGTAACAATATTCGATTGACCTGGTGGTTCTCTATCTTCGTCCCTATTCCCATTACCTGGGTTTAAATCATGACTTCCCCCAGACCCCGAATCTTTTTCATCTTGTCGATCTTGTGGTGCCCGTTGACGACGATTGCTTGTCCCTGATCTAGGACAATCATAATCACTTGACGATGTCTCGCTTTTCTCACTGTTTTCATCATGAGCTTCCGAACTTGTATCTGAACTTGACTCCTTATTTTCTTCCTCTTCCGTATCGGAGTGTCCCTCATTCGGCCCTTGGAGAATTGACACTGTTTCCCTCAAGTTTGTTCGGGAGTACACATCAGCGAAAGCCATGATTCTATCCCCTATCAAGGGTCGAAATCGCCTCGACGTGTTAGAAATTTCACTACTGGCGGGCCGGTCGAATACTGCGAGCATCATACCAAGAGAAGCTCGAGCTACACGGCCACCTTGGGTGGATGAATCAGATTCGTTTGAGAGAAGTTGAACAGGAGGTACAGAGCCTGCAGTTACAAAACCAGCTTGTGAAGATCGATCAGAATCACTCTCACAATTTCGAATATCAAGTGCAGAGATTGAGGCTGATAGTATAGTAGTCATCGTCGTCCTTGACTTCGAAGGTAAGTCGTTATGAGATATCGATGCACTATTAGACGGCGCAGTCTCCATCATCATGGTAGAACTTGACGAACTTGACAATAGATTTTCACCTGCAAAATTTCCCACTTCAGGAGCAATGTGTGTAGCATTTCTTGCGCTCCCAGCCACTTGCATCTGCATGTATCCATCCTCACCCCCCGCATACTGGTTCTGATCTTGATCTTCAGATTGCCGAGCAATCAAGGCGGAGGAGGCCTCCAATAATCGTGGATCGCTTTTAAAACTGATCTCTTTTTCTTCTGCTTTCGTTGCACTGGGAGTCGCACTGAGGCTCGTGCTGGAGGTGGTGGTACTGCTGATGGCCGTGCCCACGATTGTACTGGGTCGCGTGGTGGTACTGGGTTGTCTGATGGCTTCCAATACTCTTTGATCGCTCTCAGAATGCGTGTCCTCTTTCTCTGCCGTTGTTGCACTGGAGCTGGTCGCAACGCTACCGGTGGCTTTTCTGGTAGCCATAGTGATCGCGACTGTAATGGATTATGTGGTGGCGTGACTATTGTTGGCTTCCAATATTCTTTGACCGCTTTTAGAACGGATCTTATTTTTCTATACTTTTGTTTCTTGGGGGATGCTCTGAGGCTTGCTCTGTGGCTTGTACTAGAGCTGCCACTGAACCTGGATATGGGGCTGGACCTGGAGTTGGACCTCGAGTTAGACCTGGAGTTGGATCTTGAGCTGGACTCTAAGCTGGGCCCGGAGCTGGAGCTGGAGCTGGAGCTAGCGCCGATGATGAAAGTAGTTCTAGCAGTGGCGATTGCACTGGGGCTGTCTTTCGAAACTTCTTGACCAATATTTGAAGCCCCTTCTTTGCTGTATTCACCTGTCTTCGGCACCACTTCCTTTTTCTCTTCTTTGGCGCCAATGTCTCTATTATCGTTCTCTCCACGGCACTGACGAATGGGGGACTTGGCGGGCGTTGACATGTACGTCTTTTAGGTGGGCGTGATGCCTGTGGTGACGACTGTACTGGCGATGCGTGTCGCGAGTGTTCTCTCGACGTCGACTGTACCGCTGTCTTCAGAGATTTCTTTTCCTCCGCTGGGCTAGACGCTTGAGACAACGTTCGTCTGACTTCCTGATTCTCCTGACGCTCTTGAGTCTGCTGCGAATCCATCAATCGTCTCGTCCGTCACCCTGCTTACACAATAGTCTTTCACGATATAACTAGCAAATTCAAAACCATATATTGTCATGGGGTTTATAAGTACTACCTCCCCCGTTGCCCTGACTGCAGTTGTAATTGCAGGAATGTGTAAAACAGGCGACGGAATCGTCCTTGCTGCTGAAGATGGGATGTATGCTGCTTCGGGAGTTTGACCCGCAGAAGAGAGTGTGGTGTTAATAATGACTACTTGAGTTGTGTTATCAGGAGGAGTAAGATATATTGTATTACTAGTTGTTACTAGTGGTACAACGCTTTCAAGCGAGGATGCTCCTTGCCTAGAAATAACACAACTTCCAGTTCGCCCACGCCCACAGATGTAGGGCCAGGTAATTGTGCGTGGATGATGACCAGGCATGTAATCGAGAGAGAATTATCCTTCAGCCCAACTATTTTATGAATGGTCTCAATTGACAACTCAAGATGAAATGAGAAGCACTGAAGGTGTAGGTGGTCAGCGAGTGACAAACTCTCAACGTATGATGCACTGATGTAAAGAATAAGACAATAAATCTATATCCCCAAAACGAATGTGAACGAGAGCAAAACTACCCTAGCAACAAGCCAGAAGCAAGAATTGTGTAGAGAAAACGAATGTTGTTATTGTAAAATTGGAAGCTATGGATAAACAGTAAGCTGATAATAAGTTGATGAAGAGAAAGAAAACAGAAACAAAAACCAAAGTCCTCTCGGGTTTATATATGAGAAACTAAGTAAACAAACAGACCAAATCGTTCCTACTTCACGTAACATAGAAACAGCAAGTACATTACTATCTCCTTCTGTCCTTTCCTTCAGCATCTATTGAAACCACATCAGGAACTTGCGATGAAGTGAAGTCACAAGATCGATTCCGTGGGAAATAGAAAGAGGAGGAGGGTTTGAATAGGATAAGTATACTACTAGGTATAACTAGATAGTACACATAGGTAGGTATGCAGAGATCCAGAGCCTGAGAGTTTTTAGAAATTTCAGCAATTTCAATGTATTGAATAAACCTTCCTCCTCTGCTTACAAATTCGAGATATCGAACTATCGAGCTATATCAGGAAACCACGTTCGTTCAAGACTCCAAGTGCCGAACATCAACAATCAAGAACAACATCAAAACCGAATTGCCAAAGAACACATACTCATGATTAACAATCACCACCAACCGAAAAAGGGGCAAAAGCTCTTCTTTCTCCTCGCTAAACAATTAGTTGCTGACACAAGTTTATCACTACTACATATATTTATCCCCTCAGAGTTCCTTGCTCACCTAACAATAAACGTGTATTAGAAGAATTGCGATGTACACAATGCTTTTGTGTTCAAATATAAGGTGCGGCTATGTACAACACATGAAAAACGCACTTTCTTCCCTCTCCCGTCTAAAACGCCTGGATTCCGATCCCAACTCCGACCCTTTCCCATGCGACTCCATATTCTAAGTCGTTCTGTATGATATCATGTGTTGTATCATTTGTATATACAATCTTCAACCCTCGCCATTCCCCAATCCCGACCCAGCCCCAAAGGAAGATAAACACAAGTGTTTTTTTCTATCACAGTTCATCTTTATTTCCCTTCTTGTCCCCATCCTTCCCCGCCACAATCCTCTCCAATGTCTCGAACACCTCTTCCACTTTCTCTTCAACCTTGTCCCTAACTCTCCCTCTTCTCTTCTCCTCCTCTTTGCCATCATCTTCTTGCCCTTTAACTTTATACTCCTCCTCTTCCCCAATCTCTACATTCGCCGCATACTCCGCAATCCTACTGACAACCATTTCCTCAATTTCCTCGCCCCTACCTGCCGCTACTCTCAAAATCAAATCATTCAAGCTTTGTCTCCCCAGAATATCCACATGATCTCCGGTATTTGGACCTCCACGAGGACTAAAACGATCTGGTTCGTGGGGCATTTCGTAGGTCTTAACTTTTACACCTGCTGGATTATAGCGATGATATTTCCAGCCACGATTACACATGTAACCGACACTGAGTAAATTGACGGTTCCATCACCTTCGCCAAGAATCACGCCGTGGTCTATGTTAGCTTGGGATAGACCGGTATCGATTGTGATATTGAGGGACGAAAGGGGATTGTCCGAGTGGCGATAGAAATAAGCACGCTCGGTTGGTTTACCGATACCTGTTGAAAATTAGCACCGGTTAAGGGGAAGTTTTGGAGATAGAACAACATACCATAGAAACAATAAATTTTCAGATTTGGCGCAAGAGGTAACCTCGTCTCGAGTGGATTAATCCATTTCCTTGGATCCTTTTCATTTGCTTCCACTTCGGCTGTAGTATGAGCTACACCATGTGAATAGCTACCTTTGACTGCCTTTCGATACCAATCTTCTGTGGTATTGAATAAATAGTCTAGGGATTGCGATACTGTAAGATTTCGATACCCCGTCGATGTATTTTGATTTTTGAAATTTAGAAATTGTCCATAGCTGACTTCCTGACCCGGAGTATCATCTGGTGCCCAGGTTGCATTACCCCAAATAGCATCGCCTCCAATAGGGAGCATGGATGAGATTCCTGGCATGGCTCGGAAGAGCTCAGCTCGTTCTTCTTTATTGAGGAATTTTTCGAGGCCATAAACTGCAAATGCATTTAGTTGCGCGGTATCTTTCATCTCTCCTGATAGCACAGCAGGCAATCCTTTGAGAGCTCCAAGCATGCATCCACTAATATTGATCCAAGAATCAATATATTTATCAACCCAATCATCTCCACCGTTCCCGCCACTCGGAGATGCTACCCAATGCATGAAATAGAACAGCACTTGACCACCCATAGAATGCGAAACCAAGACCACCTTTTTGTTTGAAATCTTACTCGCCAATTCGATATGCGTCTTTAATCTTGTGAAGTATTGATCTCTAACCTCCAGGTTCGCATACGACAATCTCCAATCGTAAGCTGCCGTGTAACTATTTGTAGGATCGTAACCAATCGTCGCCAAGTTCTCCAGTATCTTACTCCAAATCCAATATCCTGTTATGAAGAAGTCGGCAGCGTCAAATCCTTGCGCAGCTCTCAATTTGATTCCGGGAGGATCCAGTCCAGTACGTTTGTCTAACATAATATGTCTCTTCCATCCTTCTTTGTCTGCAACCAAAGCTCTCATCATACTCCAACTTCCCCACAATCTTTTGCGAAAATAAGGTCGTGAAGCATTAGTGGTGCCCCAAGATTCCAACCCCGTCGAGATAACACCTGGAACCATGATAACTGGATGATGCGCAAGAATTCCCTGCGACTTGAGATGCAACCCTACAGAAAATGAATCATAATTCACAGCTTCCCTTTCTCCCTTCTACAAACAAAAATTCATTAGCCTCACATTTCAACTCAAAACCTTCCCATGCCCAACTTTCCCTCATAACCGAAAGAGGGATACAATACAGAAAGGCCAGCACCTACAGCCAGATCCCTTGCATCCTTCACAAATCCCGCAGGTAACACATCCATCAGACTATCCATAGTAATCCCCTCCAGCATTTCCGGCAACTCGAGTAAATCATTCTTGCCCGCGAAAAACCCCGCTATCACCAACCCAAAAAGGCCACCGAGGAAAAATATAAATGTATTGCGTCGTTTTCTATGTCTGCGTTCTTTGTGTGTGAGGACTCGAACTACGGGCGCGAGACGCACTTCTTCGCCGTTGGAGGGGGAGGAAGAACGGGTTGGTGGAATGGAGGGGGAGGGGGATGGTGTCGGAGTTCCGAGGAATAGGCGGCGGAGTACGGACATGATGAGAGAGCGAAGATGAGGATTTATGGGAAGAGAGATGATGAGAATGGGAAGAGGCAAATAAATATCAATTCATCTCTCCATTGTCGGAAAATGGGAAGCCGAAATATGAAGAAAGGAAAGTTTTTTGTTCACAAATAATTTGGGCTCAAAGTAATCGATCCATCTAACTTGAACCTGCCAAGCTACGTAATCGCATTGACCCCAATTGTTTGCGCTTGCTTCGGGATTGGCAGCTTAGCGGCTTGTTCGGAACTTTTTGTTTTCCGTTCTCATGTTCAACTTTTGATTGGTTAATATTTTTACATGTGAAGAAAGAAACCAAAAACTTTCCCTCCAACATCTCAGGAATCCAGAAATGCAGAAATTCGGAAATTCAGAAATTCATTCAAATTCTGCCGAAGTTTCTCCAGGAGCCAGTCCAACTTATCGGATCATCATCACCGTTTGTTCCGGTGGTCTGGTGGTCCCCTCCATCAAGATTCATCCCATACCTCACAATATACCCCAAACACAAAACACAGGTGGAGATCTCACAAACAACCACTTCGATACTTTCCGCAGACATGGCTTCAGAAACCAGCTCCGGAACACCGATATCTGCAAGCAATAGAGATTTACCAGCCGAACTACGATATATGCAATATGAGCATTCACTCGAAAAACAATATTTGCCCTCAATTCGAGCCCTGATATCTAAAGATTTGAGCGAACCTTACAGTATCTATGTGTATCGATATTTCCTGTACCAATGGGGAGATTTATGTTTTATGGTACTCCTCCCTTTTCATCCCCAGCCAAAAAAACCCAATCAATAAATCAATTCACTTCCAAATAAAACTAACATTCCCCAGGCACTCGACCCCTCTCTCCCTCTAACCCCCACAACTACCCCCCCTCTCCACGGCATCCTTATCGCCAAACTCGAAACCCATTCCTCCCACTCCCCACCTACTCTGCGCGGATATATAGCCATGCTCGCAGTTTCATCCTCATTTCGCGGTCAGGGCATCGCTACCAAATTGGTGAAACTGGCAATTGATGCGATGGCCGCCAGAGGAGCAGATGAAATAGTTCTAGAAACTGAAGAGGGTAATGTGGCCGCAATGAGATTATATGAACGATTGGGATTTGTGAGGAGTAAGAAGTTGAATAGATATTATTTGAACGGGAGTTGTGCATATAGATTGGTGCTGCATTTGAAGAGGGTGGGCGACATGAGTGGGATGGTGGAGGGGAGGGATGAGGATTATGTTTAAGGTCTATTTGTGAGCGGTGATGAAAAGCCTACTGATGGCAAAAGACAAATCTTTGAATGTCGAGTACTATCGCAAAGTAAGGGAGGTTTGGAGATAAGGAGGGGAACGAAACAGAGGTAGCGATGCGGGGTCCCAATAACAATGGGAGAAAAACTGAGGATATAAAATGGGAGCTTGCATTGGTTTCCATCTCCCCATTCCCCCATCCCACTATATCCTCCGTATCAGCACGCCGATCAATCAGAAGAAGAGGATGTATGGACAACTTGTCAATCAAGAAAGGTCCCAGAGACGGCGAGGGCAAGGAGGAAGAGCATATCTCGTCTAAATACGGCCCACCACCACCACGAAGAAACGGTACTAACCGACCAAATGAGTAAGTAAAGGGTGCCCACTATCCGCAAAGGATCTCGGTAGCAGTTAAAATAGTAAGATAGTAGAAACCTCCAATCTTACCTACTTGTACCCAAGGAAATTATCTGTAAATTCCAAAATTGAACAGTCCATTCGTCAAAATCCACTCTATAAATTCAACACTGAATATCGAGGACGTTTCACACTTCCAAGATGGTAGGTGGCAGCTCGTTTCATATCATTCCGCTCACCATTTAAGGATGATAGATAAATTATTACCCAGGTAGGTACCCAATATAATGAAGTATATATACCTCAACACGAGCCCAACTCACTACCTCCTCTCTACGTCCATCCTATCCTATTCCATTCTATTTTTCTCTCCCAAACGAAAAATACAAGTAGCCACATGATAGATTATTCTGATCTTAGAAAATTGTATTTGAGACTTCTAGTCAACAGCCGATACACTTTCCCGATGACTGGCAAATAGCTATCTATCTACACTGAGATTATATTATATTCCTCGGACATCTGTATCTGTATGGGTGTGCTCAAGCATCTGTCCCTCTTCGAATGCGGCCTGATTATCCACGATCGTGAAGTGAAGAAAGGAAAGTGCCATTCGCCGAGATAGACCTCATCGAAAGTGTGATTTTGATGAGACGCACATGTTGCTGACTTCCTAAGCCATCCTACAATCCTAGCTAGATCTCTGGATTAGAGTCCCTCTGGAAAAAGATATTCTTTAATCACGAGCTGATTCGCTGTAGCTAGCTCCAAAAAGGTCGTGTCGGAAAAACATTCATGGTAATGGGACTGTCATTTTTATTGATTTCGTTACGTTTCCAAATCCTGAGAGCGCCGAGAAGAACAAAACGTGCTGACACCGCTTGAGCATTATCTTCTCAAGAACCCTCATGTTCATCCTCAAGCCAGACCGTAATTCAAGCCCCGCAATTTCTCAACAAACCCAGCATCTCATTCATAATCAACCCGACGCATAGCCAAATCACTTGGTTCCTTCTTAATTTTTCGAAAGAACGAATCCACCTTCCCATTTTCCTTTTTGACAGTGCGAGATCTTAGTCCAGCAGCTGTGGAAGGAGCAAGAGGAGGATTTTTGAAAAATTCAAAAGAGTTGTAGAGAGAGGCTTTGATGTCGTAGGGATTGTGGGAGGAGAGTTCTAGGTAGGTGTATACATCTAATATCCCAATGGTTAATCTCGTTTCACCAATGCAACCTCGTCTAGCTCCCTGATAGAATGTGGAGAGATGAATGAGGCATACATACCTGCTTTGTAATAAATCGCGCCCTTCAGAGCCCTATCGACCAACCCTAATTCTCGAATAGCTTTCAAAACTCGATACACATCCATCTTGTCTGAGAAATCTTCGGTGTAGATACATATGAGTCGAGATTTTTGGAGTAGGCCGGCTCCATCGTTGGGTGCTACTTTAGCGGATATACCGAGAGAATTGGTGGAGGTGGCTTTGGCGATTGCGGCCCAGATTTCGTCTACTTCGGAGGAAGGAGAGAATATCATCCACTGAGGAAGAGTCAATATTAGAGTTAGAACGTGTATATGGTAGAGGGAGAAAATAGGAATATACGGCGGTTCGATTGTAAATACCCGATATGTATTGAGGGTTATCCGAGAACTACTTGGACACTAAACAGAGGGGTAAGAAGCTAAGATATCCGGCGCAACAACATAAGCGAGATACACTACATGCCTTCCCACTCGTACATCCACAATCAATAGCTGTATCTAGAATTTTCTGGACAATGATCTCTTTCTCTTTATTTATCATCCGATCGATTGCAACTGTGGACTTCTTCGAGTTTTCTCTCTCGATGGTATTCCGAATCGTGATCAGCTCATCAAGTAAACGATTCCCCTCGGTTACACATCTCGCCCAGCTATTTTCATAATTAGTATGTGAAATATGCTTCTCCAAATTCTCTCGGTCTTGGTATCCAGTATCACTCACTCGGTATGTTCACTAGGAGGAGCTTCATCGTTTACCGCAATGCCTTTTGGAGCCTTTCGGAAAGGATTGGTAACAAATATCCACGGAATTGATTGACTAATTTCCGTGGTTCTTGGTGGCAATCGTCGCAAAAAATCATCAATACTCTCATCAAGTTGCCATGCACATGCCTGACCTGCATACGGATTATACAAAGTCGCTTTGGATTCTGGATTTGCAAGGGCTTGGGCAACATTGGCATCTGCTTTTTCGGTTAAAGTTGGTTGATGACTTTTCCAATATGCTGTAGTGTCAAAGTCTGCAGCACGATCTTCGAACGAAGCTTTGGTCTCGGGATCGCCTAATGTGAGGGTTAGTAGTGGGATGAAAGAGGCGTCATGGCTGAATTACCATAGAAATCCGATTCATCTGATAGATAACCCTCATTGTCTGATACTTTGGTTTCTTTTCCATTCGCCATGACGTTTTTGGAAGAGACTTTCTCACACGAACTTTCGGGTGACAAGTGAGTGAAGTCGAAGTTGGAAATTGGAGAAACACGTAGATGAATTACTAATATGTGCACGTAAAGCAGTAATTATATGACCACTGGATCAACAAATCTTGAGTAGATAAAAGTAATAGTACTAAGATATGTATGGAAAGAGATGTAATATTTAAGAAATTTGACAGAAGATTTCGACTTGGAAGTGTTGAGGGGATTCACTTCAAGAAAGGTTATGCACGGACCATAGAATGCTGTCTTTTGATGGGCATCCAAATCTTGCTTTCTAGGACGAGAACCAGAAATGTTTTTTTAAGTCAATTGGGATATTGAACTTGTGGAACATTCTAGTGTGTGATGCTTGGTGTTTGATTTTGACGCTTTGGAGTTTGGGGATAGTCATTGATATTGGATTTCGTGTTGGAATGACATTTTCACCGAGAAGTATTCATCCTCTAGACCTTTCAACAGCAAACATGACCTGCACATGTTTTTCTCGGGGACGGGGGAAGCAGACACCCGAATGCATAGCGAACCACAGGGGTTCGTAGATGCTTGCAGAAGTTTGATGAAGAAGCAGTCCGGAGTACATGTAGAGAGATGGTTATGACGGGAGTGGAAACGAAGCGGAAATTGTGTGGTACTCATATTACTCCGATTCGCCGCTCCTTCTCAATATATTTGGGGCGGCCGAGCGGGATATAAAGGAAGGATGGAGATTGATGCGTAAAAGAGAATCCATTGGTTAAGCTTTCGTGACTTTGTGACTTCTGGTTCTAGATCTCGCAATTAACCCTTATGGTGACTTCATCGCATGCGGTGGCGGTGCAATGTGGCTTGAATTCACAATACTTTTCCTTGGAAACATTTAAACCTTGAGACAAGATCAACATAAAAAAATCGAAACATTTAGAACAGTCATCCCTTTCTCTCATTGCACCTACTATATTTCTCGGGAGATCTTTTGTGAGAAACAAGCTCTCCATGCCAAAAACCCATCAATCAATCAAAAATGGCCTCAAAGATCGAAGTCCTTGATTCTGATCTCTTGGACCTCCCTCCAAGTTGCATAGAATTTTGGCCAAATAACCCTTCATGGTTCGTCATTGGTACATATGAGTTAGATAAGGAAGATGAAGACTCATGGGTAAATGTTGAGAAGGCTTCGAGTGAAGTTGCTGTGAATACAGACCCTTTTCCCAATAAAGAAGGAATAATCTCTCCAGCTCCTTTGAGTTTAGTCGATCATTCTCACGAACCACTTGTTTTTGTCGAAGATAGCGATGTTATCCCGGAAGAATCAAAAGGCCAATCAGAACCTCCATCAACTCTTCAAAAAAGGAATGGAAGTGTGATGCTATATCATCTTGAGGATGGTTCCCTGTAAGCATCATTCACGAGCTTATGTCCTTCTTGTCACCTCTGATATGATTAGAACCCTTTGCCAATCACGTCCATATCCATACGGAGCGATTTATGATCTTCACTTCTGCCCCACAGACCAAGATTATTTTGCAGTTTCCTCCAGCACGGGTAGAATATCCCTCTTCAAAATAACGACTAATGATGATACTTCTCCTAATATCGAACACGTCAATACATGGAAGATATTTGATGATTCCGTTCTGATCACCTATTTTGCGTGGTGTCCTTCAACATCTACAGATGGCTACCTATCTTTAGCTGTAACGGCTTCAACCGGAGTCGTTCAAATACTTAACATCACTGGAGCTATCTACGGCAAGATACATGGTTCGGACTTACACATGAGGAAGGAAGAACCGCCAGTATCATTGCATTCTTTAAAGATCCCATATTCTGGCGAGGAGCCTCAATATGCATATTGTTGCTATTGGGCTTGTCATCCTTACATATCTTCCGAAAACTTCGGGATCTTTTCAGGAGGCGATGATTCGAAACTCCGCACTTGCATTCTAGGAAATCCCCGTAATAGGGATAACCATGTTGATTTGAATTTGCAAACGTCATACTCGGGGCATGATGCTGCTGTTATCTCTATTTTACCATTACCATGTGGGGGTAGAAGATGGATTCTCTTAACTGGTAGTTATGACAATAAAGTCAGAGTCATTGTCATGGAATGGTCCCACGGCCCAGTAACGTATGATCAGCTTGCAGAGGAAACACCAATCGATGTTGTAGCAGATTTGGATGTTGGAGGTGGTGCATACCGACTTGAATTCCTTCACGAATATCCCAGACCAACCGAAAACGAATCCAGAACTGAGTCCAGCGACGACATCTCCTTCCAAGTGCTAGCGTCATGCATGGAAGTCGGCGCAAAAATCCTAAAAGTAGAACGAAAAGATAGCATCTGGAGCGTTAAAGTTCTCGCATCCATTAACATCGAAATTCCCAAATGGCCAAACCCAACCAACAAATCTCAATTATGTTATGCCAGCGCAGTTCAGCCTGGCAGAAGAGATGGAGGTCTGGTTTTCCTAAGCTCTTATTTTAATAAGAGACGACTGAGTGGTACACCGAAAAGAGTACAGCCTACTATCACGAATGAAGATATGATTTTTGTTAGCACGTGTTTTAACAAGCGACAGTTGGGCGTTTATAAATTTGTGGAGGGGGGTAATAATGAGATTGACGAAATTGCAGCTGGAGTTGAGGCTCTTTGAGCATCGCAATCTTCGAATGATGGAAAAATTGGAACATTATATTTTTTAGTACTCGCATTGTTAAAGCTCTGCAGTTAATGAGCCGTCGGATGAAAGCTTGTTAATGGATATTGCCGATAATATCACCAGCATCAAGATGGGTACCTCGCATGCCGACAGGCATAAAATCTTTGAGAAACGACCTTAAATAAGGAACGTCTGTATTTAGCTAAATATCCTGACCCCGAAAGGTATTCGAATTATATTATGTATATCAATGCAATTTGCTTGACGAGAAAGGTTTTTGTCAAACGAATCCCACTCACTTAGCAAACAATTCCTTCTTAACCCAAAATTTTCTCAATACTATAATTACAATACCACCGAATATAATACATACAATCTGTTTCACCAGTCTATCCATCTCGTACGTATGTTCTAGGCTTCATCGTATAAACCAATCACACACTCCCGAGATCAGGCTCCTTCATAAGCACCAATCATATTAACCGAGCATCAGGCTACCACGTTTTACCATATTATTGACTATGCCGTTTTCCCCTGTTCTTCTCCATGTACACTGTGCTTCCTTTACTTGGCGAGGCGTGAGATTAAAAATCGGGGATTGAGGATTGAGGGAATGTATATATTATACTTGAGTAGACGAAAATTATCAAGTTTCTAATCGTGCGGTTTTAAGAGCCATTTTGTGTTTCGGTGATCTAGATTTATCTCATTTCTCCTTCACTACACTACAGATCATCAATAAATCCTACGCCCCCTCCTACAACGAGATTCCTCCATCATGGACTCTGTCCCCACCACCCACTCTCCTCCCCGTCCCTCTCCCTCTCCCCCCGTCCTGAACCCCGCTCCCTCGGCCAAAACATGGCTCACACAGTCGGTGTCTTCCAAGCCCTCATTGCGTTCCCCGTGATGATACACGCAGGTGTATTTACATTTTGGTGTTTAACGCTAGATGCCAATTTTACGATATATGAATTTGTGTATGTCTATTTACTCCTCTATGAAAAATGAAAAATCGCTTTTTCCATCTTTTGATTCCCCTTCTGTGATAACTAACAAAACACCCCAGAAATGCCCTCTCAAACGCCTTCTTCTCCGCTTCGATCTTGTTTATCATTATTACTCAACGAGGGGGAAACAGTGGGGATATCAGTAAAGAGTTTATGGTCTGGTTGGAAGTGGCAAAAAGCGGTTTTGCGAGTGCGGTGTGGCTTTGGTTACTCTTCGTACGTTTTACCCTTTTGCTTTTGAGAGTCTGTATGAGGATAGGAGAAGAGCAGGGAAGAGGAGAGGGAGGGATCTGTGGAAATTTGTACTGAGCGATGAAAATCCCGAGCTAATCAAACTTTATAAAATCATAGGATAGCATTTTTGGTCCCGTCCACAACTCCTACAATCAACCGCAATCACGAACGCCCCGAATTGCACAGGCGATTATTAGTTTTCTTGGTTTACCGTATGTGTTCCCTCTCTCCTCTGCCCTTTGTTCGCCTGCCCTTCCATCCTTACCACATTACCTCTTGGTTCCCTCCCTTCTGGTTTATCTCATACAATCTTAATAACAGATCACACTCCCCATTCAAAACTAATCTAATTCCCCTTATTCCCCAAATAGTTTCCTCTTCTATCCTACCCTCGCCTTCGCTATTTACGATCTCAAAACAAGTCGGAAATCTGAATTGAATGTGAATGCAGGGGTAGCAAGCACAGCAGTAGATGTAGATGAAGAAGCTGCTGCGGGAGAGAGATCACCTCTATTGAGTAGGGAGTAACTCTAATTTAGAATGTTGGATTTGTTTGACAATTTGGGTTTGCGGAATGGTTGTATAGATGGATTGGAGAAAGTGAAATTGAGAGAAGGAAGAGAGATGAGGAAGAGAAGGTAATGTGCATCAATACATTGAAGAAATAAGAGAGCATTGTAAGGTTTTTGAGAGCAGCATCATGTGAAAAAGGGAAGGCAACGAAGTAAGATTAGAAATCTGAAACGGGAATCATGTTGGCTATAACATTTCGATATCGCCAGTGCTGCCATTGAATCCGTCAATCCCCAACCCAGATTCGTGGGTTCGATAGTTGTGAGCTTGAGTGTTGCTCCTAAGCAGGACTCGCTCCAATTCAATTATATAAGAAGGGTTCCGGATAAGCCAACCAATCATTGGATCGCGAGATTTCGATTCCATAGACATCTTTTTCTGAGGTTGTGTTCACTACTCAGACAGTTAGACTTATGCCACTTGAAAAGCACAATTCTGTACTCAGCAATCATCATCTATACCTGGGATGCAACTACATAATCTTCATTTATAACTGAGCAGCCAAGAACCACGTTCTACATTCATCAACTAATTTAACGGCGTAATTTTTCCTCAAACTCCAATATGAATTTTATCACCTCAACCAAAAGATATCTCAATCATCCTACACCACCCTAAATTCATGCCACCATTGCACCTAAGCAACAAGTTTCAATCCACTTCCATTCTTACCAACCTCGCAGACACCACATACTGCACAGACAGTACCCTTATATTTAGCTTGATATTTGCTACCATCAAATGCGCAGACTTCGAATGGGGAGCCAGAGTAAATAGGTGTGTGTGAGGCAGCACAGACATCGAATTCAGCAAATTGATCAAACTCAATCTCATGGGTATCGTTGGGGTTACGTTCACAATTAGCCTTAATCTTACGAGCCTAGAAATTCTGTCAGTTAATGTCATTAAATAGTGGTGTGGACTGCTTACATTCTCAAGAACCTTGGCACTTCCACCGTTTGCCAACATCCTGTTAGCGAAGCTTAACGCGGAGTTATAGTTCTTGCTGGTGAAAGCCAATTTCATCGCACTCGTTAGAGCTAATTGTCTATGAACAACTTCCAACTTGGGAATAGTGAAATAAGCTGACAATTCCAAACTGCGCTTGAGTTTCTCTGGTGATTTTGAAATTTCATCAGCAGTTCCAATCTTCCGCCTTGAAATTTCAATAGCCATTGCTATACTATATTCTGATGCTGTCGTGATGAGTTTCTTTGCCTCTGATACCTCGGAAGCGGTTGAGACAGCGTTCACAAGCAGAGCATGAAGGATACCCTTGAATATAGTAGCGCCATCTTCAAGTTTGTTTTGTCGCATGGCATCGTATCCTCTCTGTAGGTCGATGGTTGCTAATGATTCGATATCTCGTGGAATAATAGGAAGAACCTTGCGAGGATCTGTCTCATCAACTGTTCGTCGAACATAATTGACCAAAGGCGAGAGACTTGCGGATGCAGGGAGGTAAGTCTTTGATGCTTGGTAAATTTCCATGAATCTAGGTTTCAAAGGCTCAAAGTTGACGGCGCCAAGTTGACGATTGAGTAGTTGCATAGCAGTTTCGAAAGAACCGCCGGCAACGTGATCAGCAGCGATAGGAGAGTTGCGAGCCCATAAATCAGCCTCACTGCTACCAGCGCCAGCCTCTGCACTATCAACATTGACAAAGTCATTCTCAACCTCTGGGACAATATCATCGCCCATATCCCATCCTGCAGCATCTTCATCATCATCATCGGCCTCAATGAGAGCACCAGTTTTAGCTTCATCATTTCCAGCTTCGTCAAAACCGAATCCATTTGCAGCAGCGGAAGGTTCATCCTCTAGGGAGAGACCCTCGACTTGACCAAGAAGGGCTTTCTCGAAGAAAGATTGCGAAGTTGCCTTTGTTGGCCAATTTGCCTTGAAGGTGGGGATGACAGGTTTGGGAGGGGTAAGTGGCGATCCAAGGGTAGGCAATGTGATTTGATCTTCGGTGAGGCCAGTAGCCTCGAGAATCGACTCGCATTCTTCTGTAAGTCCATGCGATTTTGCGGTCATGTAAGCAAGAGGATCTAATCTGGGTTAGTACTTCGTATGTGAGTAGCAACATGTTTAATGGAAACTTACAAAGATCAATCTCCTTGAACATCTGTATCCTATCTTGAACATCTCCAAGATATAGAGCGTTCTGGAAACGGGCAGTGAAGTCGCCACGATGTTCCGCAATTTTGGCCATTCTCGTTAGTTTTGCTTCGTCTCCAGTGGCTAGATACAGGAACGATAATTTGTCAAATTGTCGCAACTTCTGATATGTCATCTCAACAATTTGATGATTACCGTGAGCTAGGGCTTCCGCTGTCAATCTGGACCACAACTTTGGTCGGTCTAATTGCTTGGCCATCTCAACTGCGACTTCTAAGTTACCACACTCGATTGCCAATTCAAATCGAGTTTGTGGATCTTGAACGAATTGTAAGGCAATCTCTGGGTAACCCTTCTTTTGCAAATAAGAGATGATACTTTGACCAACAAGACTGGAATTCTTAATGATTTGCAACATCTCCTCATAGTTTCGCTTCACAAGGGCAAGCTTGAAACGATACTCAGTAGGATCAATATTCAGAATCTTTGGCTTAGCACTTCGGTCTAAACAGTACATAGTACGTGCCTTCACTCTGACAAGATAGACGGTTTGATCGAGGGTGCGAACGATACCATTGTCTCCGTTCAATAAAGTGTATTTGATGTGGTTCAAAGTTGAGTAAAGAAGAACGCCTGCATCATCCCAGGTTGCACTCTTGATGCGGATGGTTTCGTGAAGGGTGCTGACTTGTTCTAGAGATTTTGTAACAATTGTGACATTATGCTTGCTCAAGAGAGCTGCGTATAAGCCGTCGTTGGACCAGACAACATACTTGACACCCGATACAGTAAGTTCAGCAGTTGCTTTCTTTTGCTGGATGTCATATAAATGAACGGCAGTGGGGGTGATCAGCAAAAGATTACCAGTTCCACCAAAGTATATATCGGTGGTTCCATTTGGAGGCTTGATGGTCTTGGTTGTGGAGTTGGAAAGATCTTTGATATCGATTTGTTGAGTTGTAGCATTAAAAACGGCGAATCTGTTTCGTGCTACAAATACAGCAGAAGTACCTTGGCCTCGTTTTGTGTCATTTGAATCCATTGAGCCGGCTCCATCTCGAGGAAGATTGATGAGTTCATATGAACCGCCATCTGCAGGAGAAGTGACCAAGACAGCTCTTTCGGCTGGGTTGTAGGAAAGTGATCTAGGTGGGACCCAAGGGCTTCCGAGTTTTTTCAAGGTCAATAGTGTTGGACTTTCAATATTCTTTTGGAAATCATAAGATTTGACATGTTTATCCTTGGTGATGTAAAAGAGGTTGTTCTGATAGAAGGCAGATGCAGGGCGTTCTCGCTCAAGTTTGAATACCATGACACCATTATCGTGTCCAGCAGCGAAAAGGTTTATCTCAGGGTGAGCTGCAATGACCCAAAATCTATCATTCTCTCGCTTGAATGACTGCACTGATGTACGTTTATTGAGATCCCAAACTCGGATAGTTTTATCTTCGCCAACTGACAAGATCAAATCCTGATGAGGGTGGAATAAGCATCCAGATGCGTTTTGGAAATGCCCCCGGCAGGTGTCGACTTCCCATGCCTTTGTTTCGCTCATTCGCCATAACTTCACGAGTCGATCATCACCAGCAGAAACGATCAGAGGTAAAGTTGGATGGAAAGCTACCCAATTCACACCTCTATCGTGTCCTTCGAGTACGAATTTGACTACAGCATCAGTATTTCCAAACATATCTGCTTGAGCCTGGTTCCCTCTTGACATCTGGTCTTCGAAAGTCATCGAAGTTGGCGCCGAGTGCTTCTTTCGCAAGCCTGAGATATCCCAAACTCGAACCGATTGATCAAGGGATGCAGAAACTACCAAATCGTCTTTGGGATGGAATTGAGCGCACATTGTGTAATGATTGTGACCGGTCATTGTGCAAACTGAAAAGAATATTAGTATCGTATGCGAATACAATGTTGAGCCATTCCCAGCTTACTTAGAGAGCGATTCTGCCAGTTCCATATTCTAATAGTTTGATCGTCCGAGCTGGAAATGATCCAAGGAAGCTCATGATGAAAGAAAACTGTGCGAACATAATCCAAATGACCGTTCAAGGTGAATAGACATCTGCGAGTCTGCAATGACCAGACCTTAATCTTGTAATCATCACCACCGGAGACGAAGAGGGGTTGTGTCTTGTGGAAGTCAATTCCTCGAACTGGCCCATCATGCTCTTCAAATCTATCAATCAATGTTCCCATGCGATAATCCCATAGCTGAATGGTCGAAGAATGTAAAGAAACTAGAATCCATGGCCTATGAATATAGTTAGGTATAGGTATTGCGCATGGAATTTGTGAACGAACCGTTTAGGATGGAAAGCAATGCCCTTTGCTCTGGAAGATTTCGACTCGAACTTATATGCGTGTCAGTATTATAACCCCATTGAGCGAGCCTCTCAGTTTAAGAGTCAGAGGCCGCAACATACCTTCGTCAGCATCGTCGGGGAGGAATTGGAATTAGATGCCATGTTGACCGATGCTCTGAATGACGAACAACCCTATACGTTGCGCATCAAGTAACTGGGCGAATTAAATTAATCTTCTCCTGGTATGACACTTTCTCAAGTATAGTGCACAGTATTCTGGAGAAAGACGTAAGAAGAAAAGATATCCGGTGGTTTGTTTGAAATTAAGGTAAAGTACAGGAGGATATGGTATTAAACATCGAAGCGTGTGAAATGCGACGTTGCTGTTTCCCGCAAATAAGGCATCAACACACTCAATTGACAAGGCTGCCACCCAATTAGCACCAAAAGCTTCACCAGCCACAGGAGCTCGAAACAATCCCTGAACCACTTTTGGTTGGAGCTCTAGATTATGGAAATCTG